GTCGGTGCGCAAATTCGGGGGGTGTCGTGGGCGGAAAGCGGCCCTTTCCTCGGCTCTGCCTGGCCGAAGAGCCTCGGATCCAGTCCGTCTACGCCTTGAAGTGGTGGGGAGACCGGCTCCCATCACAGCTCAGGGTCCGGCTAGGGGCTGATGGGTGCTGGAGTTCCACAGCACCTGGAGGACCCTCGGTTTCTACTGCCCTGCCCTACATTTTTCGGCCTTGCAGGGTGTTTGTCTTCCTCTGTTTATCCAGTGGAAGAGCTTGTTCTCTGACTGTCAGAAGGCCTCATCCAGAATGGCTGAGCATGTATGGTAGGGAAAATGTAGAATCCATCTTCCACTATAAGAATTCTCAACACAGGCTGAAATCCAGGAGGAAGTCCCAACCCGAGTAGACCCCTTGAATCAGTGGGGATTTGGGGAGTCAACTCCTATGTAAGTCCTGCCGATTCAGTCGGCCTACTCGACTTGTGACTTACTATGGGATTCTAACCATTGATGAACAGTAAAGCCAATTGTTAATTGTATGCCTTAATAAGAATGATCCGTCTTGCTGATTTGCCACTGAGATGCCAGTTGCAATCTCATGCACTAACAGTGGCCCTTCAGATATTGCAGGATTGCCACTCCCATCAGCCCCTCATCACTGGCTGTGCTGAGCAGGGACAATGGGAGTTGTAGTCCAGCCCATCTGGCATACTCACTTCACTGGAAACAGGTGTCTCAGGGAGCAGGCATATCTAGCATTGTGATGCGAATTAGTTCAAGCAAATATTGCTTGTTTCTTCCATTCATTAAAAGGGGGGGGGCAACACAGTTGCTGTGAATTGGGCCCCATGCTCACTTGGTACACGTGCAGAGAATAGTAGCCGGCTTCCCCAGGTGTATGAAACAGACTTCTTTGTGTTTTATAGACATGGGGCTAGTTTCCCCAGCACTTAAGTAACGCGTGCCTAAATAATTTCAAGAACAGCAAAGATTCTTGTTGTGTTGTAAATTCTGACATCTCATAGGACATTTCTGGCACTTTTGCAGCCAGATCTTGAGCACTCCTTCTGCAGGGTATTTATTGGCCTTTCAACTCTGGCCAGACTTGTTCTGTTTGCTGCGATCGTCCTCATTGAAACAGATTTTAGTGTGCAGTTTGGTCCGATGCTTTCGGTCCCTCAGGAAAGTTTCTGTCCCCAGATTTTGGACAGCCGTTCCCAGCAGCCTCAGCTAGTGTAAGCAGTGTGGAGAGCTGCAGTAGTACCTCAGCATCTGGAAGGCCCAGCTCTGGTGTCTTAGAAAGTAATCAAGGGAACATATGCTGTGTAGACTCCTCTCCATCCTCGTTTCCCCTTCTTTTCTTGCTTCTTGCCTGTGATGGCCTGTGCGGAGCTGGGGAAAGCAGCTTCTTGAAATTACAGCTCTCCAAAAAGCCAGAACATCATGGCCTCTGCTGTGTGGGTTATGGGAATCTGGGAGCTGTTGTGGGAAGAAAAATGACTCGCTCAACCTCTAGGTGAGGATCTCTCTGGCAAAAGACAGCTACACTGGAGCAGAATGGGTGGACTCTTAGATGTCTTGGATATGATAGTGACCATCAATAGTGAGGGGGTGTGGCTCAGCTTCCTCCCCTATCTTTGAAAAGCGGGGAGAAGGAGGAAGGTTTACGGGGCAGAGATGTACCTCAGTCATAGGGCACCTGCTCTCCATGCAGATGTTCTGAAGCTCATTCCCTGGCATCTCTGTTTGGGAATGGGAAGCCCTTCAGCAGGAGCCCTGTTGAGTGATCCGTCACCCTGAGAAGTCAGGTTGGTCGCTGGGCTTTCTCTCTTGCAGCATCTTAACTAGGGAAACTCTCTCCCAAAGGCGGCCAGGTGTGCTGGGTCTTTGATGAGTTTCTGGTGGGGATCTGGAAC